AGAATCTTGAGAGGGTTCAGAGGAGGCCACTCGTATGGTCAGAGGCCTGCAGGCAAGGCCCTACGAGGAGAGACTGAGGGACCTGGATCTCTTCGCCTTCGCAAGAGAAGGTGGAGAGGTGATCTTGTGGCTGCCTATAAATTCATCAGGGGAGGGCAGCAGGGAATAGGAGATGCTCTGTATACTAGGGCATCCCCTGGAGTAACTAGGAACAATGGCTACAAATTGATGGAGAGCAGATTTAGGTTGGACATTAGAAAGAACTTCTTCACAGTAAGGGCGGCCAGAATCTGAAATGGGTTCCCAAGGGAGGTGGTGCTCTCCTCTACCCTGGGGATCTTCAAGAGGAGACTGGACAAGCACCTGGCTGGGGTTGTCAGACCCCAGCGCTCTTTCCTGCCCAGGGCAGGGGTCAGACTTGGTGACCTACTGAGGTCCCTTCGAACCCTAACATCTATGAATCTACGAGGCTGCTTGGGGCGGGGGGTACAGAGCAGGCTTTGCAGGACCAGAACGTTACTCGGCTCCATCAGTCAGACTCTCTGAGGAGTACGGTAGACCAGGCATCCAGCTGATAACTGGCTTCAGCTTCTGGGCTGGGGCAGCGTCCTGTTTGTTTAAGGCATGTTGTGGGGCCATTCTCACGTCAGAGGACTTGGCCTGGGCTATTGTCAGAGCTGCACTTAGTCCCTGTCTCGCTGTTCCCGTTCACAGGCCCCACCCTCAAGCCAGGCTAAGACGGCAGCACAGGAAATTCCAGCCAGCTGGCTGTTGTGGGAGCTCTCTCCCTTGCAGAAGGGCCGAGCTGTCTGCATATGTGTGTGTGTGCGCGCGCGTAGGCGGGGGTGGCTGCCTTATGGAATTAGTCAAGGCTGGGAGTGAACACATGGGTTGGGTTTTTTTTTTTGTTTTTTTTTGTTGTTGTTGTTTTTTTTTTTTGGCCCATGGTGGCTCTGTGTCTCGCCCGCCGTGGTTATGGATACAATCATTATTCAGGAGCGATTAGTGGAGAAGCTGCTTTCTCCCCGGACTCGGGCACAGAGAAGCCACTCAGCCAAGCTGAAGGTACAGGGCATATTTATAGCAATGTGTGATCCAGGGAGCAGCAGGGACAGGAGGGGGGAGAATGCTGCCTGAGGAGGAATGCGTAGCAGAGGAAGAGCACTCTGGAGAGCAGAGGAGCAGAAAGAAGCTGGTAAGGGGAAGATTTGGCCGGGGGTGGAATCAGGATTAGGTTGGGCACTCATGGGGCTAGAGAGGGCCTGAAACAGAGGGAACAGGAAAGCAAGAGGGGAAGTGGGACAGCTGGGGACACATGACAGTGCTTTGGTGGCAGATTTCATCTACTGACTCCTTGCTGATTCAGTCCAAGTCAAGGGAAGGGGGAACATGGGGTACAAGCTACTTTGCATTGCAGTGTGTGCATGTGTACATGTGCACTACCTGTTTTGCACTGCATTTTAACTAGCATTTCTCCCTGCTGCCATGGGGGCATTGAACTCTGAGTTGGTGACCTCTTTTCAGCTGCCCCTACATGCTGTGCTCTGTGATGGGGAGGGGCTGCAGGACCTGTGGTTTCCGATTTAGGCAGTTGTTTCTGTCTCAAGCCTGTTTAGGCTGCAGGAAATGACCGTGGTCTGAAGGTCTGTCTTTGCATCCCCAGGCAGATCTGGCTCTGCTTTTCCATGTGGAAGCAGCTGCAAAAAGCTGGGGCTTTCCAGCCCTGTGAATGTTACTGGTAAAAGGGGATGCCAGCAGTGACAGGAACATGCTCATGTTGACACTAATCACAGTCCAGGAAAACATGCAGGGGGCTTCATTTGCTGTGACCTTTGAGCATAAAATATCTCCTTTCCTGTTATCTGCCTTTTGCAGGGCTTAAGCAGGGTTCAGTCATCATTTGGCCTCCAACTGAGGGTTAGATCTAACCAAACCCAGTGGTCCGGCCTGTGGAATCAGACCAGGATGGATTAGGCCCATTAGCTTGGCAGTCCTATTACATGTTGGCTGGGGGACATGATGGGAAGATTGCAGAGGTAAGGGGAGCAGGGCGCAGTCGCACCTTGAATTTGATCGCATACAGAGAGGCAGCACCTGACTGAGTGCCACGGCTGGGAGAGATTTCTCTCAGGGTAGCTCTGGTCCTCAAATGCCAGTGGCCCAGATTCAATTTGAACATTTTGGATCAAAGTCCCTGTGGGTCATTCCCAGGAGAACGTTTGATTTACTGCCTGTCCCGTCTGTACGTGGCTGACACAGCTGACTATGAAGAGAACAAGGATCTCACCTGGGTAGAACGCATTGTTGTGACCTCGATTGAGGTGCACATTACATACCGAGCTAAAGATTAGACCAAACAGTTTTGTTGCTCTGGAGACGCTTGTGTTTTTAGATGGGTCCTGAAGGCCTGTGAAGCCTCCACTTGTTCTCTCGGTGGCATCAGCCACAGCTGGTGGGTCTCTGTCCGGATGCCTTGGTATGTGCGAGGTGGAAGAGATGCACAGACAGTGTGTGCAAAGGGTATGGCAGTGGATCCTGCCAGGAAGGACCTCTCTGACATGGCTCTGTGTTGGGCTGTCTTCCTCCTGCTGCTAGTTTCTCCCTGGTGACTGGGGTTGCTTTAGGTTCCTGTAAATGCTGGGCTCTGTTAGGTGAGAGGGAGTTTTGGTAACATTTCAGGTGCCCTAGGATTGATGCCCAAGTCTGCAGGGCAGAGGGATTCTGCTTTACTCCAGTTCAGAGGTGTGGCAGGCACCCAGCCTTCCTCCACCAGCTCGGCCAAGAGTGCTCTCCTCAGGTGGCTTCCTGATCCCATTCATACCAGGCGTTAAGGTATACAGGTATTAGTGCAGCTTAGGAGCCTGGAAGACAAAGTGGCTTAAAACGGAGCGCACAATTGATCAGACATGTTGAACTCGTATGTTCAGGGCACAGGCTCCTTCTTGGCCTCTCAGGTTTTCTCTGCTGAATTTCTTAGTGTCTTTTTGCAAGGCACATGTATGGGGCGGAAAAGTCACTGGTGAGGCATATGTGGCCTCTGAGTTCAGAACTGCACTGAAGGCTGTGTTACACCCAGGAAGGCCTCTTGAAACCTGCCAGGGATGCTCCTAAAGGAGTTGGCTGGCAATGAAAGGTGCTGTCTTACTTGCAGAAGCAGGGCTAAGCCTGTTTCCTTTCCATTAACTATCACAGACAAGGGTTGAAGTGAAATTAAAGTGGCAGGGGAGCTCTCGCCACATCGGCCAGGGAGGCAGGATGTTCTTTTAGTAGCGGAGCAGCACCGGGCAGGAGGAAGAAGAGCTCATCTGACCTCACCCTCCTCCTCACCCATGGCCCCTTGTTCTCAATCCTGATTATGGATGGAGCAGCCTCATGTTCACTTTAAAAATGCTGAAGGGAACATGTGTTGTCAGGTGAATGAGCTGCTGATTTAAAGATGACACCTTGGGCCAGATAAGCTTTGCCCATATGAACTGACCGGTCTCTATTAAGATATAGTGATGTAACCAGGGCTGTAATTTGTCTGAGGTCTCCAGCTTGGCCTGAGTAGCCATGGTAAAAATGGGCCAGAATCACCCCAGTTTACATACCTTGTAGTTTGCGGAGTTGCACCAGGGGTCCATTTGCCTGATATCAAGTCATCTACTGAATCAGCTCTTTTGGCCAAGTATTATTACTGCAGTTGTCCCACTCTTACAGTCCCTTGAGGCAGGAGCTGGTGATTACAGTTTCTAGATGCTGTTCGGTGTCCACTCAGACCTCAGTCCAGCAACACATGCAAAGCTTGAGCACCTCCAAAGAGTTTAAGGGAGACGTCTGCCTATTGAACCCAGCATTGGCTTATTACCGACCAACGCCACTGCTCATTTGTTAGGATGTGTTTTGTTCTCTGAGGACTCCTCTTTTACTGACTTACATTTTAATCGCAAGTCAAGCAGCCACGAAGTGGAACAGCTTTGGTGTGCTGTGGACGTTGAAGAGACGGGACTGTTTTGATCAAGTCGCCCAGTTCCCTCTTGCAAGCTGACGCTGACACGTCCACGTTTCCTGCCTTTCTTCGCCTGCTTTGTATTGGACTTTTGCAACGTGTTGTGGGAGCGCCGTCAGCATTTATTCACAGGTGGTCACCCTTCATAATCCAGTGGAGTCCAGTGTGTGAAAGTCACCTGGGATCATATTTACCTGTCTTTGAATTTAAGACCCCCCCCCCCCCCCCC